GGGGGGGGGGGAATAAGATAAATACCAGCCCGGCCGGAGTAGCTCAGCTGGTTGAGCGGCATCCTGTGCACCCCCAGATCTCCAGTTGGATTCCTGGTCAGGGCACATACCTGGGTTTTGGGTTCAATCCCCTGTCGGGGCTCATGGGGAAGGCAACCGATGGATGTTTCTCTCTCACAACCATGTTCCCCCCCTTCTCTCTCTCCCCCACACACGCACACACACAGCATGTCCTCAGTTAAGATATCTCTCTCTCTCTCTCTCTCCCTCTCTCTCTCTATATGTATATATAAATTCAGACCAAGACACTCCCTAGCTCGGCAGCTCCCTATGCTCATGGAATAAAATTCGAAGCCCTTACGTGGCTACTTCTCTGACTCATCCAAGTCTTGTTCAACCGCTGCTCCACTCCAGCCACAGTGGTCTCTTGGCTCATGTTCTAACACAGCAAACACACCCCAGTCCCCGCACCTTACAGGTGCCATTTGCCCTACCTGAAACTTCTTTTTCTTCCACTTTGACTGTTTCCTTTTCAACTTAAGACTATGTCCTCCCATATCCTGTATGCCAACTATAGTTTAATTTTTAAAAAGATATGCCCCCCAATAAGACAGCCACAACAATAAAACAAATAAATTACCCCTACCCCCCACACACACACACAGTCTGGAACTTCTGCTTTATTGCGGTATCATTGGCATATAACATCACATAAATTTAAGGTGTACAACGTGATGGTTTGTAATATGCATTATTGCAAAATTATTACCACAATAAGGTTAGTTAACAGTAGTGCTCAGAGAGGTGAGGGCAAAGGCAGGGAAGGTCTCCGAGACTGGTTCCAGGCAGGCCTTTTCATGGAGGGCTTTATTGGGGTTGGAACAGGATCCTGATATGAGTTCAGGGCTGAAGAATACAGAAAGGTGAGGATTTTGAGGCAAGGGGTTCAAAGAGTCCTGGGGAGTAAACAGACCTTCTAGTGAAAAGTTGAAGAGTTTGATTTTCATTTAAATGCATTTGGGAAGTTCCTGAAATAAACAATAAGGTGTTTGTAACCTTTTTCTTCCCTGACGAGAGTCTCCTGGATTAGTAAAATTATGTCAGTGTGGACAGCCAACCTTGTAAAGGCAGATGGTTTGGGTTCTCATCACTGCCTAAACATCTTTTCAATTTTGCATCCCCAGCACCATACCCTGCAGTAGGCATTCAGTAGATGAAGGGGTGAGTACGATGTAGTAGAACTTGGAGTTCAGTGATCGTGCTAAAAGGCTCCTTAGCAGGTCATCTTGGGCAAAAGACTCAACTCTTTGGGGCCTCAGTTTCCTCATCTGGCAAGTAAGAAAAGCAGTGCCTCTCTGCGCCGCCCCCCTCCCACCTCCACCCCACCATCCCAGGTTTACCAAGTGAACTAAGGTATTTGAAAAACCTTTTAGCCAGAGCAGACCCTGAAGGAAGGAAATCTGAAGCCACAGTGGTCCAGCCCACTCATTTTACAGATGACAAAACTGAACCTCAGATGTTTCTTTTTTATCAAAATTCACCATTCCTAGTCCCAGTCCTGTCAGAGTTTGCTCTCTGAGTCTGACCTGGCAGAAGGAATCTAATAAATTCATTTCTTTCCGGAGTTAATTATGGTTGTTGCCAGTGTAGGAGTACATCTAGAAACATTTTCATTTCACTAAGGAGATACATAATAGTGGGATTTCTTTCAGGTCTTTGAGCAGACTAGTAGAGAGAGATTTTGGAGGGACAGCTTCCAAGTGTTTCCCAATTTGCATGATAAAAATAATTGTCTCTGTAGGTACTATGTTTTGCATTGATTACTGGAGAAAATCCACATTAATGTTGATCTTCCACACATGCCCCAAAGTCTGGAAGATTCACCTTTTTTAAAATATGAAAACTAGAATGCTCAGACCCCCTGAAGTAAAAAAGCAGTAAACATTTCAAACAGATGAAAAATTAATCAACACATTAGAAAGAATCTTCAAATAGAAATGAGAGAATAGAAATCCATCCTAGCAAGATATGTGAACTTAGAAATTCAGGCTTTCTGAGCTTTCTCCCCTCTCCAATACTTTAATGTGTGTGTGTGTGTGTGTGTGTGTGTGTGTGTGTGTGTGTACACATCAAAATTCAAAAGACACCTGGTGTTATAGGAAATATATATTTGGTTTTTGTGTCCCCTCCAACTTCCTTCCAGGTACAGAGCTCTTAAAACCCAGGGAATTTCCTGGGTGACAGTAGTGTCTTGTTAGTCAGAACAAGTCCCTGTCAATCATGTCAGAGTAAATGTAAATAACATGTTTTCCTGAGTTCTGTGAGCCATTCTTGCAAATTATCAAACCTGAGGAGGGAGTCACAGGAACTCCCAATTTTGTTGGTAAGAAGCCCAGGTGGCCCAGGACTTGTGACAGCTGAAGTGAAGACCGTATTGTGAGACTGAGCCCCTTAATTGTGGGATCTGATGCTAACTCCAGGTAGATAACTAACGTCAGAATTGAATTGACTTACTGGACACCAGTTGATGTTGGAGAATTGAAGAATTACCGAGGTATAAAGGGTAAACAGTGAAAAATCACCTTAACAGTCCTGTTGCCTATTTCCCTCCTCTGTCCAGAGGCAACTGCTATTTTCAGTTACTTGGTGGGATGGACTAAATTGTATCTCCACCCAAAATTCATATGTTGAAGCCCCTAATCCCAATGTAATATAGTATTTAGAAATGGAGCCCTTGGGAGGTAATTAGGTTTCAATGATGTAAGGAGGGTAGGGCCCTCATAATGGGATTAGTGCCATTCTAAGCTCTCTCTCCGCCACGTGAAAACCCGGTGAGAAGGCAGCAACTACACAGCTGGAAGAGAGCTCTCACCAGAACCTGGCCCGCCGGCACCCTGATCCCAGACCTCCAGCCCCCAGAACTGTGAGAAAATAAATGTCTGTTATTTAAGCCACCCAGTCTACGGTATTTTGCTGTGGCAGACCGAGCTAACATACCTGGGTATCTTTTCAGGAATATTGTATGCATAAATAAACAAAAATAAATATATTTATATTAGTTTTCTTCCTTTTTTTACATGAATGGTTCTGCAACTTGCTATCATACTCTATCTTGGAGAATAGTCCAAGTCATTAGGTTTCTTTTTTTAATAGCTGAATAATATTTTTCCATTGTATGAATATACTGCAGTTCACTCAACCAAACTTCTATTGCTAAATATTTACATTGCTTCCAATTTTTGTGTAATTACATATAATGCTACAAAGAATAACTTTCACATATGCCATTTGCACATATGAGAGCTATTCGTTGGCTAAATTCCTAGAAAAGAATTGCTGGGTGAATGTATACTCATATCTATAAATATTACCAAATTGCCCTTCATAGTCNTCTTGGTAAATATTACCAAATTGCCCTTCATAGTCATTGTGCCAATTTACACTCCATTCAGTATGTGTAATAGTGTTTGTTTTCCCCCCCACTCTCACCTACACAGTATGTTAGCAAACTTCCGAGATTTGCAAAATTAAAATATGTTACTTTATAGTTTTTCTTTCTTTCCTTTTTTTTGCATGTTCTTATTATGTATGAGATTGAGTATTTTTTCATATATTTAAGAGCCTTTTGTGTATTCCTCCTACAATTTACCTCCTCTTTGGGGTGTTAGTATTTGTCTTATTGTTTTATAGGTGCTCTTTATTATCACTGAAAAATAAAACCTTTATGTGTGGCAAGAATTGCAAACTTCCCCCCAGTTTGTTGACTGTTGACTTTCCTTCTGGTGATTTTTTGTCATACTGCACTTTTTTATTTTTATATAGCTCAATTTAACAAACTTTTTTTTTTTTAATCCTTACCTGAGGATATTTTTTCCATTGCTTTCCAGAGAAAGTGGAAGGGAGGGAGAGAGGAAGAGGGAGAGGGAGGAGAGAGAGAGAAACATCCATGTGAGACACACACATCAATTGGTTGCCTCTCCCAGGAGCCCTGACGAGCGGGGATGGAGCCTGCAACCGAGGCACGTAGGTGCCCTTGACCAGGAGTCCAGCCCAGGACCCTTCGTCCACGGGCCACGCACTCAACACTGAGCCAAACCAGCCAGGGCAAACTTTTCTTTTGTGGTTTCATACATACTTAGAAATTCTTTCCCCGCTCCAGGATGAAAATGTCTCCTTGCTTTTTTCTACTTCTCTTTACTTTGTA